AACTGCTTAACAATAATCAATTACTTTTATAAATTGAAGGTAACAAATTTCACTTAATAGATGTCAAAAACACATTCCATTCAGTTTAGTTAAATTCAGCAGCTACTCTTAATAAAAATTCCAGATAAAACTAAAATAGCAGCGATTACCTAAACTCGGGGTTATTTGCTAAGTCAACAACAAATGCCGTGTTAAATGCTACAATAGCATACTAAAACTTAATATATGTGTATCTCAAAACCAAGAGCTGTTTTCATTATGTGTGAGAAGTAACTCATTAGAAATTTAAATAGAGTTGGGGGAAATGCCATTCAAACTAGTAAAGAAAAATTATATTTAAGTACTTGAGTATATTACAACTAAAATATTATTCCTTCCCAAATTAAAACTTAAAAGATATAATGCGGTTTTAACTCATAATGCCATGGTTGTTTGTTAATTTAAAAAAATTTCAATACTACAAAAGGTTTAATAGATAAAATTCAAAGGCAGAATATTAGGAGAGAAAATACTATCAATTCACATATTAAGTAAAGGATAACTATCCCTAATAATCAAAGAATTGCTGCAATTTAGTAAGACAATTAGAAATGCAATAGACAAAAAGGACCAAAGGATATGCCTGGACCACGCCATATATACTGCCTCAGATTTTCATGATTGTACTTGTTTCCTGGGCTCTCTTGGCACATTGTTCTACCCTGAAATCAAAGCCCAAAAGACCTGGTTCCCCTGCTACTTCTGGGTTATGTGAAGCACAGCACTGCAAGGCTACAGATCTGACTTTTCCAGTGGCTACAACAGGACTAGGTGGTACAACTGTCTGCAAGGACAGAGAAATTAGATTCATGTGGAGCTGTGATCAAAATGCAAAGGGAGATGGAGACAGCTGGCAGATAAATTCCCTCTCCACCCTTTCCTCCTGTGGATTTTTCCAAAACCTGGTGTTTCACTTCTGTGTGTCCAGAGACTTCCTGAATGCTGGAGGAGCAGCTGGGCTTCTTCGTGAAACTTAGGCAAGCTTGGTAATGCACCACCAACTTTGTCTGCATTGCTTTGCCTTACCCTCACTTCTGCTGCCAATATTCCACCTTCAAATAAAGCATTAGACCTAAGCTTTGCCTCACACTGTTTTTTAGAGAACCAGGCTACACCCTTGAACAGAAAATTCCTAAAACAAGAAATGAATGAAAATAGCAAATAAACCCACAGTTCTCCAGCTCATAAATAGTGTAATGAACATAAACCACAATGAGATACCCTCTTTTTTTGCACGTCAGTTTGGCAGAAATGGAAAAGATGAATAGCATCCAATGCTGAAAAGATATGGGAAAATATGCTGTCAAGCGAAGGTGGGGGTAGGTGAGAGAGTGCATGGCTGCATGCTTCCTGGAAAGTAATCTGGCAGTTTTTATTAAAACATTAAATGTACATAATACCTGAGCCAGCATCTCTTCTACACAGACATTAGTTCATATGGATATACTTGCAAAGACCTTTCTCAAAGTATTGCTGTAATTGAAAATTGTAGCAGACAAATGGAATGTCTACTTCAAATGTGAAATACTTGAATAAAGTTTGGCATATCTATTTTATGGAATATTATACAGCCATCAGAATAAGTTAGAATTATGTGTTTCTGGAAAATAGCTCTGCTGTATTTTAGGTTAAAGCACCAAGTTACAGAATAATATCTATAATGTTGATCCTGTTTTTGTACAACAAAACAAAAAAATATGTATATACATTTGTAAACGGTTTTAAAAAAAGACGTGGAGGAATACACCAGACTGTTAACGTTGGTTGCCTCAAAAGGGTGAGACTGAAGGTAAAGACAATTGTTAGCTTTTTGCTTGTATATCCTATATCGTTTGATGTATTATAGTGATCATTAAAAACATCTAAGTGATAGGTGGGTGGACAGCTGAATGGAAAGAGGAAAGGATACAAATAATTAAAGAAGGAATACAAACTATTTTATCCAAAATAATTTCAAATGTGTATATCTTTGATCTAATTTCTTTTGAACTTTGATTGGTCAATTCTAAGAAAAGTATTGCAGCCAAAGCTTTACATTATAATTGTTCGATAGATAAAATCTTTTAAAAACTCAATTTGGCTGTATCTATCAAAATGTCATTGGTCATACTCTTTGTTCCAAAAATTCTACTTGTAGGACTTTTATAGAAATACTGCTGGAGACATATAAAGATATAGTATACTTAATGTGATATTTTTATTTATTTTCTTATTTGTTTATTTATTTAATTTTGAGATGGAAGCTTGCTCTGTTGCCTAGGCTGGAGTGCAGTGCTATGATCTTGATTCACTGTGACCTCTGCCTCCCAGCTTCAAGCAATCCTCCTGCCTCAGCCTCTCAAGTAGCTGGGACTACAAAGGGCACCCACTACCACACCCAGCTATTTTTTTTTTTTTTTTTTTTTTTTTAGTAGAGACAGGGTTTCACCATATTGGCCAGGCCTTGAACTCCTGACCTTGTGATCCACCTGCCTTGGCCTCCCAGAGTGCTGGAATTACAGGCGTGAGCCACCATGCCTGACGAATGTAATATTTTTAATAAGGAAAACTGGAAACAAGATACACGTGCATCAGTAAAAGAATATTAAAAGAATATTATAGGCTGGGCGCAGTGGCTCACACCTGTAATCCCAGCATTTTAGGAGGCCAAGGCAGGTGGATCACAAGGTTGGGTGTTCAATACTAGCCTGGCCAAGATGGCGAAACTCCCTCTCTACTAAAAATACAAAAAAAAAAAAAAAATTAGCTGGGCATGGTGGCAGGTGCCTATAATCCCAGCTACTTGGGAGGCTGAGGCAGAGAATTGCTTGAACCTGGGAGTAGGAGATTTCAGTGAGCTGAAGATCACACCACTGCACTCCGGCCTGGGTGACAGAGTGAAACTCTGTCTCAAAAAAAGAAAAAAAAGAATATTGTAGTACATCCTATGCAGTCATCAGAAAGAATGAACTTGATGAGTATGTACTCATGAAATTATATGCATGAACTATAAAAAGAAAACATCATTGCCAAGTAGTTTTTATGTTTTGTTTTATTATACATTATTGCAATTGTGCTTTCCGTAATACTTATCTTTGAGAAATGGTATCACAAGGGATTTTTAGTGTTTATTTTTCTTACATTTCTTAGAGTAGTGTGTTGTGTTTCTATGACCAAAAAAGTAATAACAAAAGCTGACAAAATCTAAATTTTCTCCATAATTACATTTTTATTATCACAGGAAAAATAAATGACCAAAAAATTAGGTTTTACCAATGCAGGGAACTGGTAATTTTATTTTTAGTGTATATATTAAATCCTAAATGCAAACCTCTATTAAGTTGTGTTATTTTATACCTTACATTGTTTCAAAAGGAATTGAAGTATCTTTTGACCAGGCCAGAGAACCATTTCAATATATTCAAAATAACATGAACTTATATGAACTCAGAAAACTCTTGACCAAATAACAATTGTCTTTACTAAATTTATTTGTGTGTGTACATTTGTTAGGACATTTGGGACCCTGTAAGGTGGGGGTCAGGGTCAAGGTCCTGTTGCCTGGGTTGAAAGGTTGCTAGTGAATTGTTGCTTGGGCTCATGCCACGTTTCCTTACCCACATTATAAGTGCTTTGCTTGCCAGCTGCTTTACTTCTTTAAAAATGAGTCTGCTCTGTCAAATTGTAGGTCTGACTCTTCCAAAACAAGAAGTGGATCTAGCGCCACTCCTTGAATAAATAATGATATGAATTGTTAAAGTGACAAGTTGAATAATGTTATTACTGAGAAAATCATGTTGAAAATTCATTTGTAGATAAGCTTTTTAAAGGGGGCTGGGATAGAAAAGTGAACAAGCAAAGGAACTTTATTGAGTTGTATATTCTCTCACATCATCTCCTACTTTGCCTGTGTGACATTTATCACAAAAACAATAAAATAATTATTTCCTTCTAAAAAATTACACAAACTACCAAACTCAGGAAGACCCAGATAGCGAGTAAGGCATTTACGTATCAGTCTTCCTGTCCCCACTTTTTTTAAGTTATCAAAGAAAAATCCTGGATGCTTCCAAATGTTTTGAGAAGATTCATTGCTCTGTTTTTAAACTCAGATGAAGGCATCAATTTATTATACTTTGCAGCTTTCCTTATGTTTCATAATGAACTGTTTAAGAATACCTGGATATTTTGTATTTGAATGAAGCCTAAAGATTCAAAACCTGGCTGGATCTCATAAACACTCAGTTGATTTCTACATACATGTCACTGTTTATGCAGATGCTTGGGTAAAACAACACATACCTTTTATATGTCCCCACAAAGGGGATATGTAATATGCAATATAGAAACTGATTTTTTCAGTAAATTTGACATTCAGACTAAACTCATTAGATTGAGAGGTGCCTTCCTCTCAATCTAATGTGATCGTTACTTATTATATCTGTGTGAGCATTATTTATTATTGACCTACTGTGCCAAGGTACTGTGCCTGGTGCCCTGGGGATACAGGGATGAGTAAGATGCAACCTTGAGACGCTTGTAGTAATTAAGGGAACATAAATTACTAATCTTAGAAAAAGAATCTTTAAAATATCTAATTTATTTCTTTAGTAGAGAATTGCTATCAATTTCCTTACTGGTTAGAGCCTTGCAAATTTTTAGCTGTGGCACCCTTGAAAGAAAAATATTTTGAATTAGGTTTATCTTCAAAATTGACCAGTATCAAGATGCTGAACTTCATCTGGTTTTCTTCTCATACATCACAAAAAAGTCAATATTTATAAGGTAAAATTATGATGACTGCATTGGATCATAATTATGATTGTTACTTTTAAGGGGTACAAAAATTCTGAGTTGATGGGCACAATACAAATATTAGATGTAATTGTCAGATAATTTGCTTTATACAGTCTGGTTTTACCAAATACAGTAATTCACTTAAAGAATTTATTTTCATCTAATATTTTTATTTTCTTTTACAGGAGTTTATATTGTCAGAAGATTATAACAAGATGACTCCTGTGAAAAACTATCAAGGTAGGGAGTGAGAGGAGTACTTTCATTACCCAGATTCTAAAATATTTCTTGATGGTTTTCACTGCCACAAGAGAATACATACTTTATAATCATCAAGGGGACAAAACAGAGCAACCTTTTGAGTGAATGTTATCCGTGTTTTTGAATTAAAGAATTGAGGCCCAATAAGGGTGGGTGACTTGCCTGGGGTTCTAGTCAAGTGCAGGGCCAGATCAGGTCACTGGGACTCCCAAACCCACAGCCTTTGTCTTCCTGCTATACCACGCTGCCTTGTAACAGTACAGCAGGTTTAGAAAGTGGAGCCAGTAAAACGCTGCCATACAGAGGACTCATCTTGTATTTGGTTAAATGTTTAAAAATGCTCAGAGTGTATTGTCCAAGGGGAAGAATTGTGGTTTTATCATGTCTTCAACATTGGCAGGCCATCTGCCAACAATTTTTGGAAGGGATTTTTTTGCAGACTAACAATGTTGTGGAACCAGAAAGTTAGAGGTAGACCTTTTAACACTTAGAGGTCATTTCATCCAATTAATTCTCTTGACTCACCTTTGTGAGCGGACAGTCATCCAGCCTCTCCTTTAGTACCTCCAGAGACATAGGAACTGTTATGATTTTGGAAAATTCTAAGCATTAAGTTCTTTATTTTAGGGTTTGGAGCTAAAATTTTATTTCCCTTTATTTTTTAATTTTTTTCACATATCATTCATCAAATATTTATTGGGTACCTATTGTGTTCCAGTAACAGAATTGTAATAGTGAACCACACATGTATCTATGTGTAAGCAGTTTGTAATTGTGGAGAGGATACAGGTAGTAAGCAGGCCATTAAAACATTGTGTGAGGCCAGGCGTGGTGGCTCATGCCTGTAATCCCACCACTTTGGGAGGCCATGGTGGGCAGTTCAAGAGATTGAGACTATCCTGGCCAACATGGTGAAACTTCATCTCTACTAAACATACAAAAAATTGAATGGGTTTGGTGGTGCACACATGTAGTCCCAGCTACTCAGGAGGCTGAGGCAGGAGAATCGCTTGAACCTGGGAGGCAGAGATTGCAGTGAGCCACGATTGTGCCACTCCGCTACAGCCTGGTGACAGAGTGAGACTCTGTCTCAAAAAAAAAAAAAAAAATGGTGTGATAAGTGGTAAATGTTTCTCTATTGGTGTTTGCTTAGCCTGTTGGACCTATAGAAACTGAGTACAATCTGTCTTACACATGACAGCCTTTCAATTATTTTAACACAGCCGTGAAAGTTTCTACCCCTGCCCTTCTGTCTCCTCTTTCAATCTTCAGTGTTCTGCTTTCACTTTTCTTTTCCAGCCTATATATTTTACATCTCTAACTTTTATTTTACATTATCTGAGCCTTTACTCTTTAAAACAGTTTTTATATCTGTTCTGTAAATATGTACAATTATTATTTATCAAATTTTAAACTATATTACATAACAAAAAATTTGTTTTAATTGGCTTGGTCACATATTTGGCATATTATATGTTACTTTTAGGACCATTTAAAAATATGATACCTTGTTGTAGGTAACCTTTAAGATGGTTCCTAATGATCATTGCCTCCTGAAATTTACCCTTTACCTCCAGTGTGGGCGAGACCTAGATCATGGCAAGTGATAGATATCAGTTCTGAGATTAGGTTAAAAGATACCAGGACTTCCACCTTGCTTGCCCTCTCCTGCACTTGTGTGTTCTTGCTCTGATGAAGGCCAGCTGCCATGTTGTGGGCTGCCCTGCGGAGAAGCCCGTGTGCTGAGGAACTGAGGGAGGCCTTGCTGAAAGCCAGTAAGGAACTGACACCCCAGTTTAACAGCCTACAAGGAGCTGAATCCAGCCAATACTATGTGAGAGAGCTTGGAAGCCGATTCTCCCCCAACAAGCTTTCAGATGAGACCACAGCTCCATTCCACACCTTGATTCCATCCTGTGAGAGACTTTACGGCAGACGCATCCATCTAAACTGTACCAATATTTCAGACTCTGAGATAATTAGCATTTACTGTTTTGAAGCACTAAGTTTTGGGATAATCTGTTACACAGCAATAGATATCTAATACATAAATGTAATCTGAGAAATACAAAATTATATTTCCCTTCTCTCTTCTCAACACTCTTCTTGTAATATAAAGGGTGAATTTTTGGCAGCAGTTTTACACCATGGGCTCATGTGGAGCAGTCATTTCAAGCTTCTTCACAGTTCTAACTTGAATTGTTTGGTTATTTTAGTTTTTTTAATTTTTAATTTTTGTGGGTACATAGTAGGTATATATATGCATAATAATCACATCACAGTAGATCTGTCACGTCAAGCATTTATCCTTCATGTTATAAACAATCCAATTAACTCTTTTAGTTATTTTTAAATGTATTGGGTTGTTTTTAAGCTGTATCATCACTACTTTTGAAGCTGTTTTTTGTTTTTGTTCTTAGCTTAAATGCTGGACTTGACATTCTGATGTTGACCGTCTCACTTTATTTAGCCCATCACCCTCAGCTTATCAAGATATTTAGAAATGCCAGTTGTCATTAAACATATTAATTTCTACTAAATTTTGTGTTTTTCTTAAATGTATAAGCACAACATGCCATTTCCTATATCTTTGTTAAAATAATGATTGGCCTCACATGTATACATATTATGAGCACATCACTAGAAACCCCTCTTCATATGCCATTATTCTTTGAGTTTCTTAATATTTTATATGTTATTTTGTCTACAAGAGGATTATAAAAAATTGATAACTAGAGTACTGTAGAAACCTGTTCTCCACAAATACCTGGAGATAATGACAAAATGGCGCTTCTTGTTGTTTTCGTCATTCTTTTCAATACAATACTAGGCTCATGAGAGATACAAATAGAAAATTCCTATGAGCCAGAAGCAAAGAGAAAAGTAAAACTCATAGTGGTATACGTATGATCTGTCATTGCAGCTGTCTTGGGGAGATGGAGAACCAGTAAGAGATAGATACTTGTGTATCAACATGCACTTGGCGACAAGAAATAAGGCCTATGGCCTGATTGAGATGAAAAATTGGAACTTAGATTTCCATAAAAGACTGAATCTCATAAAGAACTGTACCCTCACAAAAAGGAGAGGAACAAGACTTTCCACTGATTGTCCCTGAAGACTACAGGAAAATTTATTCCTAACCCCAATTCTGGATAAAGGATGAAATTTTCCCATGATAAATCAAAACCCAAACTCAAAACTTTTGAGTTGGGAATGTAAATTTTAACCAATTATAACATGCTGGAACTCCATGTTAAGAAATTAACATAAAATTGGTCTTTGGCCAGTAAGACCCCATGGTTACCTGCTCGAAATAAATGTAAAAGCTCTTTTCAATGAGACAAATTGCACAAAGGCCCTACAGCAAAAACAAGCACTGCCTAAGGTGAATTCTTAATTTTTTTAATTGTAAAACTAACAAGCAATCAATCCACCATGAGTAAATATTAGCAGATATCACAAATAGAATGGTTAGAATACCAAGAATCTTAGATAATGATCAATAAACTGAAAGAAGCCATAACATAATTTGTTAAATGATGAAGAAAAGAAGTTTCAGAAACAATAAGGGAATAAAAAGATTTTTGAAAAAACAGGGAGTTTTTTTTTCCCATTTATTTTTTTTGTTGCATTTTAGGTTTTGGGGTACATGTGAAGAACATCAAGATTGTTGCATAGGTACACACGGGGCAGTGTGATTTGCTGCCTTCCTCCCCATCACCTACATCTGGCATCTCTCCCCTTGCTCTCTCTCCCCAGCTCCCCACCCCCCACCGTCCCTCCCCTATTTCCCCCCAACTGACCCAAGTGTGTAGTGCTCCCCTCCCAAAACAGGGAGATTTTTAAGGGAACCAAATAGAACTTTTAGATATGAAAAAAATAGTCATTGAACTTTAAAAATCAGTGGGTAGATTAGATTGCTTAGACACAGACAAATGAGTGGGAGATGGATTTGGTGTCCATGGAACAACATTTTTAAACTTCTTTTTTTGAGACAGGGTCTCACTCAGTTGCTCAGGCTGGAGTGCAGTGGTGTGATCTCAACTGACTGTATCCTCTGCCTCCTGGGCTCAAGCAATCCTCCCACTTCACCTTCCGAGTAGCTGGGACTGTAGGTGTCTGCCACCACACCTGGCTAAATTTTATATTTTTTGCAGAGATGAGATTTTGCCATGTTGCCCAGGCTGGTCTTGAACTCCTGAGCTCAAGCAATCTGCCTACTTTGGCCTCCCAAAGTGCTGCAAATACAGGCAAGAGCCACTGTGCCCAGCTCATTTTTAAAGTTCTATAAGAAGGAAAAAACTTTCAAAATAGAGTTATATACCTAGAGAAAATACCTTTCAGAAACCTAAGTAAAATAAACATTTTTTTGGACAGACAAAAACAGAAAGAATTCATCATTCATAGAACCTACCTACACTAAAAGAAATGTTAAAGGAAGTCCTTCAGGAAAAAAGAAAATGATGCCGAAAGAAACTGTGTGTCTATTCAGAAGAAAGAACGATGTTAAAAATGGGAATAGAAAGGTTTTTTTCACCCATTATATGAATATCTTTAAAAGACAATTGACTTTTAAGTTAAAGTAGCAAGGGGTTAATAATATATGTAAGTTAAAATGTGCGACAACAATAACACAAAGGCCAGGAGAAATAGAAGTGTACTATTGTAGGCTCTGGAACGATATACATGAAGAGGTGTTATAGCATTTAGAGGAAGACTGTGGTAAGTTAAAGATGTATATACTCTTGACCCTAAAACAACTGTTTTGTTTTTTCTTGGAAATGGAGTCTTGCTATGTCACCCAGGCTAGAGTGAAGTGCCACGACCTTGGCTCTCTGCAGCCTCTGCTCCCGAGGTCCAAACAGTTCTCCTGCCTCAGCCTCCTGAGTAGCTGGGATTACAGGTGCCCATCACAACACCCAGCTAATAATTGTATTTTCAGTAGAGACAGGGTTTCACCATGTTGGCCAGGCTGG